TCACACACTTACATTCTCCTTTCACATACATATATGTTTGCTTTCACACATTTACATTCTCCTTTCACATACATATATTTTTGCTTTCACACACTTACATTCTCCTTTCACATACATATATGTTTGCTTTCACACATTTACATTCTCCTTTCACATACATATATTTCTACTCTCACACACTTACATTCTCCTTACACATACATACATACATTCTATATATATATATATATAGAATGTATGTATGTCTGAAGAAAATATGTGTATGTAAGAGAAGAATGTATGTATGTGTGAGAGAGAGTATAGTGGAAACGGAAGGAGTATAGTGGAAACGGAAGGCAGGTCAGGCTCGATCAGGGTCACCGGGACAGGTCATGATCAGCATGGCTGAGGTAGATGAGGCGGCCGCATAAGTATTTCAGCAAGCTATTTGGATTAAAAAAAAAATATATATATATTATCATCGTGAAAAGGTTACGTTACATGGCCTCGTCCCTTGAGCGAGTTGTGATTGAGGACGCGGGCTCAGCCTCAGTCGTGTTGCCAGATACACGCATTATAAGCGTCTATGGATTTCCCCCCCCCCCAGAGTGTCTGTTTACATTAAGTGCAAATAGCCTGCCTTGTTGATAGAGGCTATTTACAGTAGCTCCACCCACAAATGTGTTATAGGGATAGTCAACACTATAAAAGACGACACTTAATCGTTAGCTTCAATGGCGTAGATGGTAAAGCGCACAAGTGTCAGTTATGCTGGCGTTGCCAGATATTGAAAAACAAAACAAAACAATCTAAAAATGAATAATCCGCAATGAGTCCAAATCTTGAGTTATGGAAATAATATAAAGATATCACTTTCCCTAACTTGCAATCTCCTAATTTATTCACTTATTATTCACCTAAATTAAGTGGGGGGTGGGGGGAGGCAGCGGCTATTTGCAGTAAGTGTAAATAGCGATAGAGGCTATTTACACTAAGTGAAAATAACAGTAATTTTAACAATATGCTATTTACACTAAGTATATTTACACTATGTTAAAATAGCAGGATTTTCTGCTATTTATACTACTTATTTAAAATAGTGGCAATTATCTGTTCCTCAGTATTATAGTATGTTATAAAACAGTATGCAGTAATAACGTATTGAGTGTAAATTATAATTTTAATTCAAATTATTAAATGGATGCCACCTTATTGGGACAATAAAGCCTTCCCTAACCCTACCCGATACTTTATCTTCAACTTTTTGATTGTTTCCTTAATTTTTATTCAAAATAAATGCGTTTCTTATGTGATATGAGATTTGAAAAGGAAGAAAAAAAGTTCGGTAAAAGGCGGATTCGAACCCTGGTCGATCGTGTCAAAAAAAACACGGTGCGCGCTTTACCATCTACACCACTGAAGCTAACGATTAAATGTTGTGTTTTACAGTGTTGACTATCCCTATAACACATTTGTGGGTGGAGCTACTGTAAATAGCCTCTATCAACAAGGTGGGCTATTTGCACTTAGTGTAACTAGACACTCCGGGAATAACGCTTATAATGCGTGTATCTGGCAACTCGACTGAGGCTTAGCCCGCGTCCTCAATCACAACTCGCTCAAGGGACGAGGCCATGTAACGTAACCTTTTCACGATGATAATATATATATTTTTTAAATCCAAAAATTGACCCTTATGACTGGTTTTGTGGTCCAGGGTCACACACACACACATACATATATATATATATATTTCAAATAATGCTGTTTTTGAGTAGCAAATCTCTTTTCAAATATGGTAATAATAATAAATGATTCTTAAGCACAAAATCAGGATATTAGAATGAGTAACGGCTGCTGAAAATTCAGCTTTACCATAACAAGAATAAATTACATTTTAAAATATATTCAAATAGAAAACCGTTATTTTAAATTACATTAATATTTCACAATATTAGTGTTTTTATTGTATTTTTGATCAAGTAAATATATTGATGAGTCTTCTTTCAAAAACTGCAAATGTTGACCCCAAACTTTTGAACAGTAGTGTATATGTATATATGTATGTATGTGTGTGTGTGTGTGTGTGTGTGTGTGTGTGTAATATGGACAGACAGATCTAGTTTAGATGTTAGTGGAGCTAATAATCACCATGTCATAAGGAGATCACACACACCACGATTCAATGCTCACTGTCGCAGATACAAACGAATCCTCTTGTCCAATCAGGATTATGTTATTACAGTGATTATCAGTGCTAGATTTAGTCAATTACAGATAAGGGATCTCATCTTTGTGATGTGAAAAAGGTTTTGAGAGCGCTGGATGCTGCTTCTGTTATATTAATAGGAACATCGCATGTCGGCACATGCAAAGGGTCGAGTTCAAGATGGAGAATCTCCAAGCCCAGATCCAGTTCCATCAGATGATAAAGCCTCTACAGTCTAAAAATAGTATTCATGTTGAGATGTGGAGCACAGGACACTAATGAACACAGTCTGGCATTTGGCATCATGTGAATAGCCCACACATCATCATTGATGTTGTTCATTGTATCAATCTCCGATTTCTCCTTCCTCCCCCATCTCTTTCAGTATCCATTACAAAGCACTTAGGGCAGATTCAAGGGATAAATTGATAACGCAGCAGTTGCACTTTTGTAAGGAAGCTCTTTGCATTGAACTCAGTTGAACTACAAGCAGAAGGATGCGACCTGCAACATAAGAGGCTCACATTTACAATTCTGATATTGATTTCTGCTGTATTTCTTTAAAAATACATGATTATAACAATGTTAAATTGCAGTTAATTTCACTCTGGCTGGTGTAAATAAACTTTTTTTTTTAACATAGGTGGCCTCGATGCTTTGAAGAAGAAGAACTTCACCATGAAGGAGGGAGTGGACTACAGGGTGAAAATCCACTTCAAGGTGAATATAAATCAGATTTCTGTCATAAAACAGTCCGCAGTGATGTTAGTCATTCTTTTATATTGTGGCCTAAAAATACTGTTGTGTATTTTTAGCTTAAAATCTAAAGTGGATAGATTGTTTATTTCCTGTCTTGACCGGGCCAGTGCTATGAACAGCATACAGAAATACACACAGACACCCTTTCCCAGGCTACAATTTCCTAAAAATAATACACTTGAAATATTTCTAAACAGATCGGGGTACAATGTAAGCAGAAATGAGTTTATGTCGGGGGTTTTTGGGCTTCAAAATAAGTGATGTTGAAATGTTTTGCAACAGTTTCCCCAAGAACATTTAATTAAAATGGCATCTAAAGTCACTTTATTTCACTGCGAGTCACACCAGATCATATTCCTGCAAAATACCATTATTCACAAAATCCCTTTTGGATCCAGCAAGTCGACAATATCTTTCTAGCCCCATGATTCATCAGGATTTGATGCAGCTTCACACAGAAGATAAAAGAGCTTTATAGTTCATGCTCAAATATACTAAAATAGACAGTATCTGTATTTCAATGTATGGGTATTCCCTAAAAGGGAATGGAGTGAATTCCTAAAGGATCTAACAGGACCTCTGCTGGTGCTACAACAGGTTGAATGTCCTGAGAATGAAAATGACATGCTAAATTAATAATATTTATTCTAATTTATTCCATCTGTTCCCATTAGGTCAACAGGGACATCGTGTCTGGACTGAAATATGTGCATCTGACCTACAGGAAAGGACTCAGAGGTAAGAGCATCTGTAATCATGAATTTAAATGTTGGCATGTTGAGTCAAGGGTGTATTGATATCTTTATACACACATGTACTGTTTCATATGAGACATCAATTTCTTTATTTAAACGTAAAAATGGTAATTTTTTTTTTTTTAAATAAATATGCATATTTAAAACAGTTTATTTAATTCATGTTTAAAAAATATAAAATTAGTGAATAATTTTATTGATTTATTTTATTTTATTGAAAAAATAAGAGACATTTCAAATGTTTGTAGGTAATGTAGTTAAAGCATAACCAGCCCGTGTTCAAAACTATCACCTTTAGCCCGATTCACAACGGTTAGCTTATAACAATATTTTCTCATTTGAGTGGTACGGGTAGTTTTTTGCAGGAAATTCAAGCATGGCACTGCGTCATTACGTCACATCTGTAAACATAAAGAAGTTGTCCCGGCTACTAGGCTATCACATGTGAGGATCCTGCAGGTGGCCGATCGTTTATAGCCTTTTCTCACACTAGCCAGAATAATTCATTTTATCATTTTGATGGCGGATTGTAATCCATAAAGGATTATGTGTTTATGAAACACATGTGAATGAAATTCAATTATATTCCAGTTTCAAATGTGCATCTGATTACAGATAGCCTGGGATTACATAAAATCTGTATTTTAAAGACAACCAGTTCGAAGGGAGCATAATTTGCTTTTTGGGTTAAAAGAATTTCTTAATATGAAATTCGAGTGGTATGACAATTAGAGATTAGACTGTACAGAAACTGAAATCACACGCTGAGACACACTATACACAGTCACCAATGCTGATGTTGTTAACATTAATCAATTGAAAATAAAGTATAACAATAATAATAATTTGCACGGTTTGATGTGATATGAGCTAACCGATCTTTAGATTTAATCACCATTGGTAGCAAGATTTATGGTAATGCTTTTTTCCTCAGTTGGTCAGAACAAACGTGGCAGACTTGTTACTTACTTGTACTAATGACAATATCCAGTGAAAATTCTTGTTTGGGTCATATTCCAAGACGTAGGCTAGAATCTGTGATTGCGAAGTACAGTAAATATCCACACCGGTGCGCTGACTGACAGCCACACATACTCTTCAGAACATTAGATTCATCCGCGCTGGAGCCGTGCCGGAGCACAACCCACGCAAGCTAGATGATTCCGCACACAGCTGCAATTGCAGGTTTTCAAACAGAGATGGCGACAAAGAGGCAAAATTTACGGACTGCAACTTTAAAGGCACAATATGTACGATTTTTTAATTAAAATATCCAAAAACCACTAGAGCAGTGTTATATATTTTGCTGACTTGTGTACTTACATTATCCCAAATGTTGTGAAGAATGTTTAAATCCAGAGTAATAAGCAATTTTAACTAGTGACACGGATCATGTCCATAGTGTCATTGTGTCGCCTGCCAATGACGTCATAACCCCTCGATTTCCGGTTTTGTAGAAAACATGGAAACACCAAAGACACTTTAATATGTTGTGCGTTTTATTAGACCGGTGACGACCACACAGAGTAGCATTATAACAGAACTTTCAAACATATCTAGTATGATAAAACAGCGCTGCTTTTTTCCCCCACATACGCACGACCGGAAGCAGCGGAAGCGGTCGACTGTGGCATAATAAAAGCTCCGCTGCTTTCGAGTCGTGTGTTATTTTGAATACGCGCCCTCTAGCGGCAAAAATTACATATTGTGCCTTTAAATAAAACAAAATTGTAATGAAAAATGAAAAATTAAGTTATTATTATTCATCTTGTTATTATTATTAATATTATTATTAAATTATTGAACATAAAAAAAGAAATTACTAGTTACTTTTCTTTGTCCAGTTGCCAATTGCTTTTCTTTGTCATTGTCAGATTCATTATTTTAACCTTTTAACAATCAACTTAAAAAATGCCATTGGACAGGCTATTGTTGGGCGCAACCAATCAGCTTTTGATGTATTTTTTAAGAATTTGACTCACTGATTTTCTTTACCTTTAGTGGACAAGGCAGTGTACATGGTGGGCAGCTACGGTCCGAGAGCCGAGGAGCATGAGTTTATCACTCCGGTGGAGGAGGCTCCGAAGGGCATGATCGTTCGGGGAACCTACCACATCAAATCCTACTTCACAGACGATGACAAGACAGACCATCTGTCGTGGGAGTGGAACCTGCAAATCAAAAAAGACTGGGACAGTGCAGAGTAAAGAGGTCTTCCTCTGTCTCTCTCTCCCAGATGCATAGCAACATACCCAATTTATCACTGATGTTTAAAACAGAGACATAGGCTAGGTATATATGGTTTTGCTGGCTTTGCAAGTGATTACATAACAATTAGTCGTATTAAAAAAATAATGAAGATATTCCTACATATTAGGTGTAATCAACAGTGAGGGCATACAGTGACTGGCTGGGTATTAGAGGCGACTTAGTACTTTGTAATAGATTTAACAATGGTATAACCAACAAATGAAATCCCTCATGCCTGTACACTCAGGTTTTAGTGTATACTGTAAATGTAAATATTACAATGTCTGTATTCTTGCAATGCATTTAGAGTTCTTTACAGAGCCCATGACCAGATCAGTGCATGCTTGAATGTGAAGCCATCGTGTCGGCAATGGCTAATTTCTTGTATTATTGATGATGTAATCAGCCTGCTGTTACCTGATAAATACATGTGTAGGACGTGGTTTGTACTAAGTGTTGCTTGTCAAAAAAGGTATTTCTGAGCATTAAACCTCTGTAGAAAAGATCAACTGAAACCAATATGAAGTTGTCTGGCTGTTCACCAGCAACCAATTCTGGTAAAGCTGCTTCACTTTTCTTGTTGGTTAGTCCTGACTGGCACATCAGCTTCTAAAATGCAACATTTGCTGGTCTTTTCAGCTGGGAACCCTCAGTGGAGCCCATAGTCAAGCACCCTCCTCATTCCCTGAAACAATTTAAGATCTGTTCATCTCTGTCCAGGTGTCTGTAACTTTCTTCCATCTAGCTTTTATGTTAGATTGTCTGATTTTTTTTTTGATATTCCAAAATAAATACATTTATTGTTTATATGCCTGCTGATACTGTTACCTGACACTTCCATCTCCATCGCTGATTTTATTATCTGACATAAGATTATCTTGATTTTTCTTGAATAATTCCCTACCACATGATCATATTCAGAAAGATTAGATGATACTGCAGAATATTCAAAATACTCTGTGAAAATGATTGGGTTTGACTATTTCTACACAATAAAATTTATTGCAAAAAGGTAATTAATGCCACAGGAAATATCTAACTGGCATGTGCATTATGTAATGCCTTTATGGGGGAGACAAATACTGAATCATCATTAACTGTGAGCAATAGGAAGAAAAATACGAGAGCACACAAAAGATTAACTGCAATTTTTATGAACTGTAATTTATAACTTTTTGATTCCACAGTCAGTATAACATGTATTTGATCAAATTAAATCCTTGCAATGTTGCAAAACATTCCCACATGCTGTATATTTTCTCAAATTCATATTGTGACTCATAATGACATTTTCTTCATAATTGGATGTTATAATTAGTCTGCTTGTGGTCTGTATTGCATGATGCTGCTTTTTAAACATGTTAATCAGGGGCTTCATTGTGATGTAATGGAGGCAGCAGTAAGAAGTAATGTAACATTTAGGGCATTTTTCAGCTGACCGATTCATTTGCTTAAAAAGATTCTATTGCTTCTGAATTGTTAAACTTTTCATCTTGTATTTTTAATAAAGTTTGGCCTATCCTTAATTGTATATCTTGTTTCTAATGTTGTAGTTTGGTTCAGCTTATGTTTATTAGATGCAAAACAGCACGTAGCAGTAATGGCTGGCAATGAAAAAAGTTATTTCTGTTCGCTGCAAACAAAACAGAAATAGAAATAAACAAGTTTCAGGGAAAGGTTCATACTTGTTCACTAACACATGATAAGACGAACCACAGAAGCAGGGTTGCCAGGTTTTCACAATAAACCCCGCACAATCGCTACTCAAAACTAGCCCAGTGGCTTTGGGTCCCCCGTTAAAAAATCGCATTCCGGGGATAAAATATCACGTTATTGGGGTCGTTTTTCAACCCGCGGCAACAGCTCTACAGTAACCCGCGGTCTTGGCAACACTGCACAGAAGAGAGCAACATGCGTTTTGTTATATCCCATGCACCGCCTTCCAAGAATGTAAATTGCCCAATCACAATCAACTATGTTAGGTACAGCTTTGGTGATTGGCTCTCTGAATGATTGGCGTAATCACCAGCCACACGATGTTACGGTCTGCAAGCCACAGTGTTGCCATGTCCTCCTTTTAAAGCGTCTTTAGATTTGTGGTAATTCATGAAATATCATGCTAATAAAAATATACAGTCGCAGTGAAGATTTGTATACACATATTTTTAAATAAACGTATTTAAAATTAATTTATTTGCAGAAAATGTTGCCTTGTTTTGGGGAAAGTCACGTACGTTGATAATGTTTTGTCAGTGCAGTTTAGCTGGTTTTTCTACAGAGATCTGGCAACGCGTGTAAGCGGTGAAGTTTAGCGATTTAGCATTATCCTTTCAGCAAGATGGCATCAGTATTAAGACACTCTACCAAATTCAGCCCGTCTGGTAGGTGTGTCATGCCTTGTCTGAAACCGTTGCTGGTTTTTTCCCGAATTAAGTTAGCAGTAGTAATGCATTGAGGAAATAGGACAAAGGTCAGCAGATACAAAAGAGTTGTTTACGCCTTCCTGTCGTTTTTAAAGCAGAAAAACCAACATATTATGACACGTATTATGTTAGTTTTGTGTTTTTATTGTTATGGGTTGTAAAAAGTAAGAAGTTAACACCATGTCCTTTAATAAGGGCACAGCTATTCACACATGAAATACAACACTGTGCTCTTGTGTAACGTTAGTACAGTATTTACTGCAGTGTACTCAATAGTCAAATACATGCACGTGTTAAAAGTGTTAAATGCACTGTGTTGGCTTTTAGTTTTACATTTGCAAAATATCAGGAATTTCTCTTGCAGGATTTGTATCACTGTTGTCTGGAAAAAGCCGTCATGGGAGAATCTGTGCTCTGCCATACATTGTATCTAAAAACAGATACTCATCATCCTCAAACATTAAAGTCGACCTGGACAGTAGTAATGGTAAGCATATTAATACATACTATGCATAAATGATGGGGGTTCCAACACTTTGCAATTACATATTTATCAAAAAATCATTACCAGAATATCAGTTTTCCTCTTTCTTACAGGTGTTGCTATAATGCAGTTCCAGAATCCTCCTGTCAACAGTCTCAGTCTTGACTTTCTGACTGAGTTTGCTATTAATTTAGAAAAACTTGAGCTGGACAGAAGCTGCAGGGGTATGATCATAACATCCGTAAGTCATCAGAAACATCTGCTTTAGTGAAATCAAGTGTAGTCTATTTCATTGACAGTGCGTTTTTTTGTTAAAGGCCCAGCCGAAGGTGTTTTCTGCAGGCCTAGATATTTTGGAAATGTATAAAAAGAGCCCAGAGCACTGCGCAGAATTCTGGAAGGCTGTACAGGACGCATGGCTTAAGCTTTACGGGTCCACCAAGGTCACAATCGCAGCTATCAATGTGAGTGTCACTATAAACACTTTTTACTGTTTTCTTTTTGTGTAAAATATTACTTTAAGGTCAAATTGTGAGATGAATGAGTGAATGATGTAACTGCTGTGTTTTTAGGGCTCCAGTCCTGCAGGTGGCTGTTTGTTGGCTTTGTGTTGTGACTACAGGATCATGGCCGATAATCCTCGCTATAACATCGGTCTCAATGAAACACAACTTGGTATAGTTGCACCTTTTTGGTGAGTATTATTGATTCTTTTTTTTTATCTTGTTTTATTCACAATTCATGTACGTGGGAACCACAAGTTGTATTTACTCAAATAATCCATTAGTAATCAGATTGATGGCTCAATCAAATTGAAAAGCCTTCATGTAAACACCTCAATTGATCTGACTGAACTTGATCCGAATGAATTTGTGGTGTAGACCTGAAATAATCCAGTCAATAGGAAAGAAACACAAGCATACAACTATCTTCCCAATTGGACTCAAAAATACTTTGTGATGTGCGTGTTCTACCAGACTACTTTTATAATATTCCTTTGTAAATGAAAATGTGGATCGAATTGTCAAGTTTAGGATTCATGTAAACAGAACTTTCAGATTTTTTACATGGATTGACAAAAATGAGTGCGTGTAAGCATACCTACTGGAACACAGGGTGGTACTGAACAGAGATTTTGTAAATCAGGTTTAAGGACTCCATGACAAACGTTGTGGGCCATAGAGAAACCGAGAAGGGTCTTCAGCTGGGTTTACTGTACAGTGCCCCTGAAGCCCTGAAGATCGGTTTGGTGGATGAGCTTGTTCCTGAGGATAAAGTTCTCAGCGCCGCTACTGAAAACATGAAGAAATGGTTGGCCATCCCAGGTAAATGGTATTAGCTTGCTCCAAAATATGATATCTTTGCCTGTTATAGTACATTTTGTTCACGTACAGTGTTTTTTTCCTACAGATCATGCCCGTCAGATAAGTAAGTCCATGATGAGAAAACCCACGTTAGACAAACTTCTTGCAAACAGAGAAGCCGACACCACAAACTTTGTCAGTTTCATCACCAAAGACTCCATCCAGAAATCTCTTGGGGTGTACATGGAGATGCTGAAGAAGAGGAGGTCTTGAGAACCGAAACACGTGCCTGTTGTTGTTGAAGTTGCCTTTATGGAGTGCATCAGTGTCGCTGTATATCACACTGTCCTCTCTTTTGTTACTAGAGGGTAACTTTGTTTGTAAATAAAATCTTTTAAAACCAAAATGGAATGGAATCTTCTTAGCATGCAAATAGTAGACATATAGCTTAACCATAACTTTTTTTAAATTCAACATCAAGGTTTTAGATGAAAATTTTACATACAGTATATGGATAAGGAAAAGTGTATAGGTTAAGGAAAGTAAATGGTTACAATTTCTTTTAAGTATTTCTCTATTTTTAATCAACTTTTGACTGTACTAGTTCATTTTAAATGGTCTTTAGTTTTTGTTTAAAAAAATGCATTGACACTTTATTTTACAGTGTCCTTGTTACACGTTACATGCACATACTATAGTAATAACAGTAAATTATGCGTAATTATAAGCAACTAACCATAAACCAAACCCTACAGTAAGTATGTTATTAATTAATGTTACTCAGTACTTATTTGTGTAACAAGAACACCCTAAAATGTAACCAAAAATACAAATATTCTATATTTTATTTTATTCTAAAAGTTTATTGAGATTATTGGACATT